CATGTACTATATACGTCTTCTATTTAGTTCAATTGATATTTTTTAAAACTCATTGGTATATACACCGTGACATTTTAATGGTTGTTTTCCCGCGGCAGGCCGATCTGCTATCAGTAGTACTTTCGAATTTTAATATTTAAAATAGACAAACATAAAAAAATAAAAACATCTTTTCAAAAAACAAATACCCGAAACTCGAACATGCGAGTAACAATAGTAACGCACTAAAACTGCAGTGGATGACAGGTCCCGCGCCGCGCCGACGGAGCGGCTACACTTTCAGTTGACCCGTGACGTCGCAAGCGCATCCACGCTCGTTTTGCGAATTTGCGCATACCGATGACCATAAAATGGATCGACATTACGAATATTCAAATTTCGAGTACGTCGCGATGGTGCAGTTGTACGCTAGGGCTAATTACGATTCCCAAGCCGCCCGGCGACTTTACGCGGAGCCAGACCATTTGGAGTCGCTGCGTCTTCGGGGGATTTTAAACCCCCAAGTTCCACACGCACGAACAATTGTCGCCGCAACACAGCGGCTGCTTGACCATGGGCAGTTTCGAACGCCGGCGCATGCACAGGGCAGAGGGCGGCCGGCTGTTTACACAGCAGAACTAGACGAAGAGATCATCGGGTACTTCGAACGAGATCCTCGTCGAAGTACACGTATGGCTGCGGCTCGGTTTGACGTAAGCCAATACTACGTGTGGAAAGTTTTAAACTGTGAGGGACTACATCCTTATCATTTTCGTAAAGTGCAAGTCCTTCACGAAAACGATGGGCCAGCCAGGGTAACTTTCTGTCAGTGGTTGCTCGATAACAGGAGTGCGAACATTTTGTGGACGGACGAAGCTACATTCACGCGAGTCGGACTGTTTAATCAGCACAATGAACATTTTTGGGCTTTTAATAACCCACATGTAATCCGCGAGTGTGCGCATCAAGTGCGGTTTAGTGTAAATGTGTGGGCTGGCATAGTCAATGGCCACGTTATTGGCCCTCATTTCATCACTGGAAACTTGACCGGGGGAAGTTATTTGGACATGTTACGGAACGTTATTCCGGACTTATTAGACGACGTTCCCCTATCATTTCTAGCAGATTTGTACTACCAGCACGACGGGTGCCCGGCTCACTTTCAGCGCGCCGTGCGGGCCCACCTCGATGCCGAGTTTCCCCTTCGATGGATTGGGCGTGCAGGGCCCGTGCCTTGGCCAGCAAGAAGCCCGGACCTTACTCCTTTGGACTTTTATTTGTGGTCTGAGCTAAAGCGCCTAGTGTACCAGCAGGAATACGAAACTCGCGATGCGTTAGTGGCGGCAATAACGGATGCTTTCGATGTTGTTAGACGTGACAGAGACACATTAAAGTCGTCACAAAATAATAGATCATATTTGACAGCTAAACCAGTCGATAGTATGTAACTTTGAATGCAATCAACGAAACAGTAAATAAGCAATTAATAACTTATTGGGTTTTAAAAAAATACATAAATTTTATTGAAGGTCTATACGTTATGAAAGAAACATATTTCAAGTATTATTTTCGCAGGAATTCCAAA